GTAGAAAAGGCGTTCTGTTTAAGTGATATACAGATTTTTATATGTTTAAAATAAGCATTCAACGAAATCCAAGAACAAAACTGCATCCGGAATCTGGATCAATGTTGAATTTGACTTGAATGTTAGTTTTTGTACAACCTCCCAACATTTTTTTAAAAGGAGCAGATGGATAAGAGGCAACAGTACCCTTTTGCACTCAGATTTTGTCAACATTGTTCTAATTTCTGACAAAAAGTGAAGTGTGAAGCGCAAGGGACGCTACGGATAGAGTGAAATTCAGAAAAGACGTTGAGACGAGCGTTCGATAACAGTTGAAATGTTGAAAACGTATTCAAAAGAAAACATCTACTATGGTACTGTCACAAAACAGGGACCTTAAGTGATTGACAACAGGTGATTGACACTCAAAAACCTTCAAATTACTCCTAGTGGTGGGCACATCGCTTGATACTCCGTGTACTGTACCGCCGGACCTCACCGAAATCATACAATTTCCTGGTAGACTCTCGCAAATATGTTCGGTAACATTTCTCCCGAACTACCAGGGATTTCACAGTGTGTTCTTAACAACTAGGTCATAGGGTTTGTCACATTCTCAGTCATCAATACTGAGGTGTCAAATCATGTTCTTAATGACAGCGTTTTTCGCTGTTTGTAAACCGATCATTACCGTTCATCTTTTACTGGGATCTGTTGTCTTATACAACCAACTTGGGGTCTGAATTGTGGGGGAAATTGTTGTCTAGTATGAATTAAAGTGTGTCTTGTGTTAATAGATGTTGCAATCTTGGAAACGTGTCGTTAGTTGTACTGTCGATGTTTCGAAGAGGAAAAAAATAGTGGCAAAAGTGGTACGACCTTCTGGACGAAAATGTAACGTGTTGAGCAATTACCTCGCAAATGGACAGTTTTGCTCTTCTTTACAATCTCGGCCTTAATGAGATGATTTTTATGGATTCTGTTTGTGTTTCAGGTCGCAAAATCCGAACATACAGTTGGAAAATGCACAATGGTTAGGGAATTTTTAATTTAATATTCCAGTCTATATGGAAGTTTACCTGATGTGAAGATATATAACGTCGTCTTCTACTAAGATCAGTTGCACAAATACCCCCGGTAGACGATATCGAACATCCAGGCCAATCATTGTGTGCGCGGATTACAAAAACATTTGAAATCAGTCGCCTCGACCAATAGAGACGAATTGCGATATGTCTTCGATCTATCCTGGCGTCATTTCATGCTATTTTGGGGCGTAGGATCGCAACCGACGGGACAACGCGTCCGTGGCTTATTGGTTTGAGACGTCGGACTTCTGATCAACATATCGATGGATCAAGCTCCCGGTGTTTCGCAATTCAGGATTGCGTATGACTGGCATCATCTAGACTCTGCGTGAAATTTATGATTTTTCCGAAAACGAACGTAAAACTTGTCATAGTAAACTTACTAACACACCACTCATTCTTTAGTTGTTCACGCCGCCTAAGCTGAGTTATAAAATAAGATCCTTCCCTACATGTTAAACAATAAAAAAATGTGCTCACTAATGGAACCGTTTTTAAGAACACATCAATGTTGTAGACTGTTCCAAGAGATCTGTAAGATTTGACAACTAGAGTAAATTCGTTTCAAGTTATGCACGGCCTCTGAGCCTCTCTCCGCTTAAGCACTGTATTCAGCGAATCGAGACTGCTAAGAAATTTTCCGAATCTACCCTCTTGGCATCATGCAGGAGAGAACTCGCCAGTTGGCAATCCAACGTCAAAAGTGAAATGATGATTGAAACTCCAGGTGAGGTGGGAGTTCTCTCCACAAGGCCAGCATTAAGAAATTTGCCAGTGTCGAAGTCAAGGCCGTTTTTTAAGCACGCACGCCCCCGCCTCCCGTTCCGACATTACAGGGCAGGGAGATGCATATAAAAGCTCCAAACAACTACTCTCGCCGGTTGTCAATCAGTGATCGCCATGTCTTCCACAAAGAATGCAGACCATGAGGGTGATTCAGCCGTCTCCTTCTATGACATTGAGGATGAGCTAAAAGCACAGAAGGAGAAAAAGGGTGGTTGTGTGGGCTGCCTGCGCGACAATCTTTTCGTGATTTTCATCCTACTTGGAGTGGTTGTGGGATTTGGTATTGGTTTTGGCGTGAGAGAGCTGAAACCCTCTGCTGAGGCAATTGTGTGGATCGGTAAGATTTTCCTCCATTTGGTCATTCCCCACCACCTAATCATACCCGTTTTAAACTCCATGAATAAACTCAATTATTGTATTCCACTCAAAAAACAAACTGCATTTTGCTCTTCCTTTGCAATATAAGGCATTCATTTGAATCTGAAGTTTCTTCTGTTTTCAATGGACCGAAAAGCCGATACTTATGCTAGAGGAGACGAAGAATAGCATGTTTTTCAGAACAATGTTAACCGCTCCTTGCCCACGTGTTATCTTAGTTTAACGTGGGTTGTACCAAAAGCTGCGTCGCGGTACTTGAACCAGTTATCGTTACCAGATTTGCCAAAACACGTTAAAACAGAGGAAATTTTAGCTTCATGCGACGGGACGCTTTTGTAGAAGAAAAACATTGAAGATAGCACTCATGGTAGCAACTAATAACACGTATGTTAGTGACTCGAAATTCACCCGAGTTTGAAAGCAAACAGCCACAAATAGGGATGTGCCTCCTCATTTTTTATAGTCAGCTGAGTTATTAGAATTATACTGAAATTACTTCTTTAGGCCTAAATGTCTGCTCTATGTTTAGCGATGCCGGGCAACATTTACATCCGACTTCTTCAGCTAACCATCCTACCACTTATCGCTTCCAACCTCATTGTCGGTAAGTTAGCTTATTAATGAAAACTGGATTTTGCTTCTCCTTTATCTCCTTCCATTGAATCTGAATGAAAACCTGTCATCTGAAGAAACGGAGGGTTGATATAAACTTTAGGCATGTCTTTCCTAAGTTAAAAACAAAACTATGGTACTTTGGTCAGCCTCCACCTAAAAGGTGTTGGGGAAAATATCGTTGTCATCTGCTATATGCTAATCACTTTACGCATCCCGATCGGTGTTCGTTGAATATCCATGCCTTCGTGTAATTTATTAAATGCCAGGTTGTCTCGCGCTTAGACGCCAGTCTCGTAATCATAATCAAGATAAGAGAAGTCGATGGTACCTAAGGATAAGGAACAACGAACCGATAAAGGTGGAAGCCATATCTGAACTCATCTTGCAGACTTTCCGTTGACTTCTAATCCTACCGAGTCACCAGTAATGAATGCCTTCAAAAACAATGGATCCAAAGATATACTGGGCTGCTGATTAGTCCAAATTATCCTTTATGTTCATGCGTGAACTGTCGAAGACCAACTGGCGGTGGGCATTATGACCGTGAACGGACAAAAGTTTGCTACGAAGCGACGAACCAGTAAATTTAAAGCACATTAGGATAATACCCCCGACCTAATTATCTGCCGGGCCGGATCTTATTTCGTAGCCGTACCTGCATTAGACAACTCCCAGCCTAATCCCTAACCCTGACCCTTAATCCCCAATCCCTAATAAGATCTTGCCGTCTGCCGTTCTCTCCTGTGTTTCAAAAATTGCCTGTAGCCTAGAAATTTCATGAAAATTATATCATTTTCGAAGAAGGAGACACCATCGCTGGAACAAGAGCTTTATTAGCCTGACGTTTCGGATTCCTGCTCCAACCCACCATCAGAGACAAAGGCAAATACGAGTGGTTCATGCACAAGGGGCTGAGTATTTATAGGATGCACTCGCCATGCTATCGCATACCTATGAATATTCACGGTCCCCCCTTCATCAGGGATCGTTGCACTTGCCTCGGCAAGAAACGTCTGGAGTCGTTTATTGGATCTGGCTCGATTGCGGACAAAGCAACAACGCGGAGAAACCGAAGGACAGCTCTGAACGAGAATGGCCGAACACGCTGCAGCGGTGCGGATAAATGACGCCAGCTCTCAAGTTGCGGCTCATTTGACGAGATCCGGCCACACATTCAAATTCGATGAGGCCGAAATTCTCACAAGAGGTGACAACCGCGTGAGCCGGGAGCTGCTTAAGTCATGGTTCGCTGGCTCCCCGTCCATCAACAAGTGCAACAACCTTCCCCTTCCATATTCCGTGCTGAGACTTCGTCTGGGCGGAGTAATTAACCATGCGGGGAGCGCACAGGTGGGAACCTTTCCCAGCACCAGGGTCGGTGCGTCAGATGGTTGGGCAATCATAACACCAACATTCAACGCACGTGATGAGATTGCAGCCATTAACGACACGAATGTCGGCCATCAAACAGTCGTCACACAAAGTGCAACGATCCCTGGTGAAGGGGGGAGCCGTGAATATTTATAGGTATGCGATAGCATGACGACTGCATCCAAAAAATACTGCAGCCCCTTGTGCATGAACCACCCATACATGCTTCTGTCTCTGATGATGGGTTCGAACAGGAATCCGAAATGTCAGGGTAATAAAGCTCCTGTCCCAGCGATCATGTCTTCTTCTTCTTCAAGACTGCTTCCTGGGACGCATCTCTTCGCTTCTATTGGCTATATCATTTTCTTTGTATCATTCCGACCGAGATCGTGTCCATAAGCAACGAAAAAATATGGAAAATTTACGAAAATCATAAAAAAGTTATTTTACATTGACACATACGATTTCGTTTCCGCTTATTTTACTTTTAGTCATTTCGTCGTTGGACTCCAAGGAACAAGGGCTTAGCAGTCTGCTGACAGTAGCATACATTCTTTGTTTTAATATTGCTGGGGCTGCAGTAGGTACCGCCTTCGCTACGTTAATTAAGCCAGGTTTGTCCACTATCTGTAGCACTGTTTTTTTTTAATTTATGCATGCCTTTTCAACCATCACGACTAATTTGATATTTATTTTTTTAAAAAACACGTTTTCTGCTACATAAAACTGGGAGCATCCAACCAAAACTCCCGAATAACTGTCGATGCAAGACTGCCGAAATTTATAGTTTCATGGCCTCCGTGAAATATGCCGCGTTCAGTAACCCCGTAGGTCTGCCTACATTACTATCCTTCCTTAGCAAAATCTCCCTTGTTGAGGAGAAATCCGAAATAAAGAAGCGTTACCGACATTAAACGCATATCTGAAGCATTCTGAAACTCAGATTCACACTAAAAGTCATAAAGCCCGGACCAGAATCTTTCAGTCTGTCTCTAAAGGGCAGAATTTATTTATGCCACTTCGCAATACTGACCACAATGGAGCAGCACGATGGCATATAGTCGTGCATTTGTATACACACGGCGTACACCACACCACGAAAAAGCGCAGTTCATTTAAAGCATTGCATAGTTTATTTTTTTAAGAATACGTTTCTTAAAACTCATTATGAGTCGATATCTGATAGCACGTTATGTCTCCCAAATTTATCCTAATAGACAGGTGTACATTTTTCTAGTTTATCCTCTCAAGATTATGACACTATTTCATATCCTGGAATATGTTTTGTTTTTAACTGTTTTTAAGTCAGCAATTTAACCCAGGTTTATGCAGCCGTGTATATTGAAGTCGAAGATATTTGAGTAAATAAGAAGCTGGATTCAATAAAACATCTACATCGGTTACTTTTTTCCACTTCGTTACACGTATCACCTGTGCAAAACAGTTTTAAAAAGGATATAACAATTTAGACGTGCCTAGGTTTTACGTCAACGTGCTTATGCATCAAGGATCGTTTGCCCTTGTCGCGGCTGCTAGAGCCATAAGCAGGACGTAACCACCACGACATTCATGCCGGTCCCTATTAGGAAGAGGTTTGAACGCCAGTTGTGAGGACACCGTACTCTTTACAGAAGGATTTGAGGACTGGTTAGAATAAGTTGACAGTCGGACGAAAAAGCGTCCGGCCCCGTGAGAGCGGTGAGTCGAGAGACAGTGGGGAATGCGTCACAGCGTCTGGAGCGAGAAAACGCCCGAGTCGGCCTGGAATAGGAGTGGCCGATTTGCACAGCCATGTATGGCCGTGAGCGAGACGACCACTGCTGCGCACGTGCAAGTACTCGTGGGAATGGCAGCGTTGTGGCAGTCGCTCGGAGTGGGGCCGCATTACCCTAAACTGTCATCCTTATCAGATAGGCCAGCGTCTCCCACTCATCCTTGATATTTTCTGTACGAAACATCTATAATACGTGGGCTAACTCATGAAATGTTAACGGAATTCCGAAGTGCGTTTTCGTTTAGAAAAGACTAATTAAGTAAGGTTGAAAAATAGTCAGCATGCAACACTATTCTATAATATGTCACTTACCTCAGTATGCCGGCTCTCGAACGAACTTCTTTCCAGCTGCATGTAAAAACTACACTCTATAAAAATGATTGCTTAAGTAGCAAGAATTTTTCTCATTGATTTTCGATGTCCCTAAAAGTTCAATTCTAAGTCATGGACAAAATGGATAAAATATTCATTCTTCTGCTCATTCGGTAGAAACGTACGTCTTCTTCCAATTTTATACTCGAAGGAGGGACATAATTCGGTTTTAAAAAAGTTTTCAATTGCGGAGCTTTTAAAAACGGTGAAATGGCCGTTCATAAATCGCCATGTAACTGCATTTACCAATGTGGCTTGTACAGTTAACAATATGGATCAAATCCACTGCAATATTTTATGAACCCTATATAGTCCGCCTTTATTACCGTAGAGAAATGTATGGTTTTCTGTACGCGGAAATGATGCGGCTTGTAGGTTGGAAACCCTGCATCCAACTGTAACGGTAGAGCAGGTTCAAAATTAATCGTGAATTAGAAAAGTTTTTGAAATCCGAATTATACCCTCCTTTTCAGTGGAAGATTGGAAGAAGACGTAATTTTCTACGGAATGAGCAAAAGAATTAATATTTTATCAATGTTTTCCATGACATATAATTGGACATTTAGGGAAAACGAAAATCAGTAAGAAAAATTCTTTCTACGTAAGTAGTCATTTTTACAGTGTTGTTTTTGCATGCAGCCGGAAAGAAATTCGTTCGAGAGCCGGCATCCTGAGGTAACTGAAATATTATAGAATTATGTTGCATGCTAACTAGTTTTAAGCCCTGCTTTATTGGTTTCTTTAAACGAAAACGCCTTTCGGAATTCCCGTTGACATTTCATGAATTAGCCCACCTACTGCAAATCGAGAGCCGACTGATGCAATTTCAGTCCGAGTGTATGATCACGAGAAGTTCGCCGTCGGATTTGTTAAAAAAGACTGAAGAGTAATCCTGTGTTCTTGCATATCAGTGACTTTCTTCCTGAGATCACGATGCGAAAAATAGATGGAACAGATTTAATTTATTTTGCGCTAAATTATTTAATGTTTGCTTGCATTGTCATTTGAAAAAGTTTTCCAAATCTTGGAATGTACCGTCACGGAAGTTGTAAAAGCCTTTCGCTTTTAAATATAGTTATAAAGAGCAGAGCGGATGGAACATTACATTCGACAGTTTACAGCACCAAACTCATACAAAAGCCATCCCAACCTACAAGAGCAACGATCTTGTATTTCACAAACGAAATACAGTCGACGATGTATTTAGGAGTGAAAAAGCGCTTACCCCGACAACGAAAGTTATGAATATAACTACATCGTTCGTTTAAACAATTTCCTTAAAATTGAGGCCGGCAGTAGGGGAGCAATGGCACCCGACCAAACTGGCCATGCGTGTCTCTAATTCTGAATGCACCTTCTCGTGGGATCGAAGTTACACTGTTGGCGTCTGCCCCTCCCCGAATTGTCCATAATTTCTCGAATACACATATTCAGGCGAAATATACATCAATCGGTATATCGATCCGGTTGGTGCGTACAGAAAAATGTTGAGAGGAATGGAAAAGTCGACAGATTCTCAAAAGAATAGGGTGGTATATAATGGATGCATAAAGCCGGAAACTGCAGATATTTATTAACTACGTATTCGCCACTGAGGTGTTAATCCTTTTGAACATTTGCTGAAAGTTCGAATATGAACGGATACACGGCTGTACATTTGTGTGCAGTAAACGTTTTTAAAAGAGTCATATTTTATTTAACTTGCAGTAATAGGAATGCCCGTCTTTCAGCATGCATGCCATTATTTTTGGATGTTATTAAATCTCTTCATAAATTACGTAGGAGGTGAAATATACGCTTAGGCGAATGCGTCTAAAATGCGACTTAAAAACCTAAAGCACATTCGAAAAGGCTGGTTGGGCTCCACAGTTAACCGGGAGTAATTGCCTTTTGGACCCTAAATGTTCCTTCATGGTAGCTTTTTGTGAAAAAAATTACAGAAAGGATATAGTAAATGAAGTTATTATGAATACTTTGTAAACATTTGCTCAAACTTAACAAATAGCTGGAAATGGACGTTAAAAGTATACGTCAATTACGCAGAGTTTTGACTGTAATTTAGGCGGTAAACTGAAAACTTGCTTTGCCGATGACCAGCATCCCGTAGTGGACAAAGTAACCTAAAGGTGTATGCTATTAAAATCCCTTTTACAATTTCATTTAAACTAACTTTTCCGCTTGATAACTAATTTGAGGATCCCGATACATGTTTTGAAAACATCGGCACTTTTACAGTCGTGTGAGCCTTAGATATATGTAAGAAGGCTTCCGAAGGTTATTGCAATGTCTACTTAAAAGAGCCTAAATTTTAGTGTGTAAAGTTGAGAGAACAGAATGTCCGTTGCTTTTGGGCAAAGAAGAGATCAGTTTAAATTCTCCCCTTCGAGGATTACTTAATTTCCCATAGTTAATTTGAAGATATAGTTTTTCATATTAGTAGACAGAGCATTAGGAAGAAGTTCTTACCTTTCAATTATGCCCGTTTAATTTATCAATAGGCGTTGGCGTAAACATGACAACATCGACAACGTCGACTCAGGACCCAGGACTAACACTTACAACGTCAGACGTGTTTTCTGATCTTCTTCTGTACGTCTTGATGCATGAGATGCAATTTTTCTGTGCCGATATTTCGGTTTACGTGTTATATTTAAAATATCTTGTCGAAATCGACGAATCCTTTGTAAAGTAACACATTAAACTATAAAAAGACAATAATTCATTAATATACCTATGCTCCAACATTTTTACTTCCCCAGGAACATGTTCCCAAACAACATTATTGGAATGTGCCTGTACCAGGTAAGTGAGAACATTTTGAGAACAAAACTTTCCTAGCCTTCCAGTGGTATGTTCCCTCACAAGGACGTTTTACTCCTTACTAATCTCCTGTTTTTGCTTAGAAGTAATTTTCAAGGGTCTGATATTGCTAGAGGTAAATAACAGTCTGGGTAGAAGTCCTCTTTCTGCAAACTGACGAATATGCCTAAACTTTTAGACGAAAACCGAATATTACTGGAAATATCCAAATAAATCAGAAAGGTATTCCAAAGCAGTTAACGAATACTCCACGGATCTGATCGGTACGTAATTTATGCGTTAATTATATTCATAGTTGTTTTGACAGATTTCGAATAATTCACATTGATCCGACTGTGTACAACTCGGCATCTTGGTGCGATTTAACCCACGACCTACTGCAATGTCTGGAGTCCACCAAATCGGATACAGTAGCTGACGCTGCGGAAAGTTGGGCGGGTAACTTGACCCAAATGTGATTACACTCACGCCCTCGGATGGGGCCTCCTAGCTCAGGTGGCTAAAGTGTTGGCTGTACTAAACCCTATCCCTGAGTTCGTGGATTAAGATCCCACCGAGGCGCAGCGTTTTTCACAGTTGGGCCAATATGAGTCCATCATATTGTTTTTTTCCGTATTATGTCTGTGCTTATGTGTGAAGCTGAGGGTTTTTAATTCAGTTTGTTTGAGGATAATAAAAAATGTGTTTCCTCGCCTCCAGATGGAGTTAACCAGTGCTTTCAGTGAAAAGAATACCTGGTAAAATTCTGCCCTTGTAGTGGACACTTTTGCAGAGTCATTCCTATTCAGAGTTGAATCATCTGGTGCGGCCCTAAACAGAGGGATCTATTAAGACGAAAAATGGGATTTATGTGTAATCACGCAGTCAAATTATAAATCCCTTCTCAAAAAGACTCCGTTTATCCGCATTTTCTGAATCAGTATGAAATTTGTTTGCATCCTTCAGGCGTCCTTCTCACGTCCATCGCATTCGGCCTGGCGGCAAGGAAGGCCGGGGAGGCTGGGAAGCCCTTTTTGGACTTCTTTCAGTCCGTCTCTGATGTCGTTCTCAAACTCGTGCGAGTGTTTTTGCAGTGAGTTCGATTTATGGCCGCAAACACTAAAATAGCCTCGAATAAAGTGATGCAAAACATTCGGAGTCAACTTATAGTAAGCATCACATTTCAATCTGCTCAGGTGCACACCCGTCGGAGTTGCTTTCATGATCGCCGCCGCCATACTGAATGTCAGCGATATTGCATCAGCCTTTGCAGCACTGGGAATGTTTGTCCTTACGGTGACGGCAGGTATCGGTGTCCTGTTTTTCCTGTGCCTGATCGTGTATGGGGGATTGGCTCTTCGAAATCCCTTCGGCTTCCTACGCCATATAGCAAAGGCCTGGTTCATCAGCTTTGCAACAACCAGCCCGTAAGCACATAAAAAATGTTCGCCATTATCTGCAATGCCTTTGCACGCGTGTCTTATCCAAACACACATTTTGTTACGCAACTTTCCTTAGGATACTTATGTGTCAGAAGGAAGGTCAGCAACTTCAATCCATAAGCCTTAGTCAACTTCACCAGGTCTTAAAATTCGTTGTGCTTGTTTACTCAGGTTGGCGGCCGGGAATAAAACTAAGTTCTCTGGAGCAAATTAATGAAAGACAACGCCACAAAAGCAGGAGCAATGGAGCATTCGTCTAAAACGCGGAAAAAGAAAATGCTACCGTTCCTCCAGGAGTGTCCCGATCCGATTTGTCACAATTAATTTACCAGTCAGTGCTTATTCGTTGTTACGCTGTCAGGGAGCGAGTATTTTGGGTGCAGGAAAATAAACTTGTTTACTTGGTTGGTTGATGTTGGTGAGTATTTCAGTTGCGGATCGAACTGCAGATCCAGTGTTAGCGTTTAACTTTTCCGACTATGCGATGCGAGGCAATATCCACAGCAATTAGAAACCTCTGAGCACCAAGGAGATAAGTAGAGCTACGTAGTCAGATTTATCGTGTGATCAAGTTGCCAGCAGCCTTATGCAGAAAAACCTAGTATCTGATTCCTCTTCTGTGCTGCAAGGATCCACAGGTAGTCTAAGTAATATTTCATGCAATTTCGACTTAGCAATCTCGAGTGCACTAGAGTGACTTTAGATTTCACACAAAGCAAAGCCCAGACATACAAAACCGTCAGTAATTGAATAAGGAGCCTTGAAATGCTAAAGTGTTCTGTAATTATATTTTGTATACAGAGGGGGTGTTTCTCAGCAACAGCAGGGAAAGGGCACTTAATTCATGAGAGCGCTTAATTCTATATGTATCCTAAAGCTTCAGAATAGCTTTTCCGTCATAAGATATGGTCAGCACAAAAGATGTCTCACCTAATCTTTTGTCGTTGTTTCAGTGAGCCTTTCACTTTATACTGGCCCACTAATTTTTGTTTTTTTTTGCCCCGAGACATAAGAGGACAAAAGCGTAGAATTTAACCAATAATATAAAGGTATATCTCATTATTATACTTTCTGCCGCCCATGTGCTACAATCTCTTCTATTAAATAAAAATATTGGACTGAAACTACGTTGGTGTAGCACACGTCACCAAATTGGCTAACCTGGACAATATTCTAGGCCGTTCAACAAAAGGAATGATGTTTTATTCTTACGCGTCAAAAGTCACAGCAACACTTTTATTTCGGTCTGCCTGCTGCATTTAGGATAGTATCGCTACCAGAAATGTTCGAGGGTTGCGATCAGTACGGCGTGGACCAGTCCATCTCGAGATTTGGCTGTCCTCTCATGACAACCCTCAAGTCGGACGGACCAGCGGTCTTTATTAGCAGTGCCGCCGTCTTCGTTGCACAAACAGAAGGAGATATGCCATCAGCCGGGACACTAGTAATCATCTGGTGAGTCTGTTCTGCGTGATTTTTGGATGTCAAACGAAATCAGATTGGCTCAGCAGTAGATTTCCTTAGGCTTCCGTATAAATTATGAGAGTCTGGAGCTCTGGACGGAGCATTAGTTAAACTGACGCCGTTCAAATCCCACCCATCGGAGATTGTTCGAACTGCAGAATATTAATTGATGGTTTATTGCTCTTTGTAAAGCAACCCGTGATCAATCGTACGCTTGAAACTTCTATGGTTCTAGCCAAATCAACAGATTACACCATAACAAAGTTTCAAAATAATTCACCTACTTCGTCTATACCCAGTCTTTGCTACCGTTCATATCTGTCGGATCCACAGTTCGTGGATTTGTTTTGATTTGGAATATTTACCATTGACATTTTTAGAGCCTTGGTCCTTTACCCAGCGGTAGATAATTTTACCTCAGTCTCACCGAAACTGTTCCAATTCAACTGTCTCACCTCTGATTCACAGAACACGGCCCGTTGTCGCGTTCAAAGCAGACTGAAAATTGACCTTCTTCTTTCTCTGTCTCAGCTGTAGGACTGCTGTCTGCATTTCTTGTTCGAGCATGTGAGTGTGAGTACCAGCACTTCTGGAAAGCCCTCGTGCTCCTTTCCAGTGTTGTCTGCGGCAGAGAGACGGTATTAAACTGGACGTATGATTGGCAGATTGCGTGGGCACCCTATGTGCCGAAACGCATGTAGTGACCCTACATCTGGCGCCTACCGCAACGCTACGCCTCTCATGAGTGCTCGCACGTAGGCATCAGCAACAGCCTGGTGTTGCCCCGCTCACTTAGCCGCTGTCAGTTTGTGCCGCTCTCCTTCTGTCCGCCTCACACTCCCGGTCGACTCGTTGCTGGTTTCTTGCGAGGCGCGTCACTAGCATAGTGTGGTCTTGAAGCTAATCAACGCAAATTCGTTGCTGACTAGCTACAGGCGGTCACAACCTATGCAGATAACAGGCGTAGATAAAACAGAAGCCTTAAGAGATAGTTTGAGGCAAATGCCTGCAGAGTCATTCGGAACGCCGCTCCCGCGGCGCCGGACGTATTCTCTCGTCCAACTGCCAGATTATTCAAACCGGTTCTCAAATCGTCCTGTCCGGAATAAAGTATCCTTCTCAACTGGCGCCCAGCACCTTCTCTTTCTAATCGGGTCTAAAGTTCGTAGTAGTTAGGGTCTCCTCTCTGGCTTAGACCGGTACGATACGCGTAAAAACGGTTGGTAGTGAACATCGACATAATTTAGGGCAACAGCATGATCCCAACGTAGGAGAGAAGAGACCTTTCATTGCAGATTATCAGGTCTCGTTTTCTTCTCTCTAAAGACCAATTCGGAAGTACAATAATTCTTTCGTACAGGGTAAGGTGATATCATTCTAACAGCACAGGTACTAGCCAAAAGCCCATACACGCGTGTTTCGCCGATATTCTGCCGCAGCATGGCGCAGCTGCGAGGGGTTCGGCTCGTCATTGGGTCCCCCAGCATTCCCGTGTGTTTTCTGATAGATACTCCAATTTAGAAATTGTCGCTTTTTAATTTCCTCAGAAAGTATCTACGAACTTGGAGTAGCTAAGTTTATTCAAGGTCTATAGGCTTAGACCGAGAATTTGATTCATAAATATTTGGGCCAAAGTCCATCAGCCACAGCGAGTAGTCGCGTAATATTCATTAACTGCCGATAGGCAACTAGTAGTATACTTTAGAGTAAGGTGATACCATACTAAAAGCGACAAATTCTTTCCTACCTTAACAGGCTTTTAACATCTGTCTCCGTACTGGCGATCCCACAAATCCCAAGCGCCAGTATAATCATCACAATGACCATCCTCTCTTCGGCCGGTGTCTCAACGGCAAACACAGCTTACCTTTACGCCGTCGACTGGCTTTTGTAAGAGCGATTGGCCCCATTGCTACTTTTTATGCCTAGCCTGATTAGGTGCTCATGTTTTGCTCGACGGAATTTGGCACTGCACATGGGTAATACATACTTTATTGCTGAACATGATAGCGGTTATGAACACCATAAAAAGGTAGGCAAATGTATTCGCGACTACCGTAAGAACCAAACTTGTATAATTTTATGTAACACAATTTGTTTGTAGTGGCGCTAGATGAGTAGGGCAGTATAGAGAGAGCTTTGGGAAAGCGGGGCAGGCCAGCCAAAAAGTCCAAAATGGATGTAACATCATACTTGTTTGCAGGCATGGCTGAAGGCGGTTAGTACGAAATCTAATTAAGCACCAGTAAGAAAACTGTAAGCTCAAAGATGCAAAAGCCAAAAAACTGAAACTTAGACTAAAGGCGTAAATCACTTCTGAAAAGTCAAGGGGAATTAACAACTGTTACCCACGGAGTAGTCATGGTATCTTTATTTGAAGCAGGGTGAAGGGCATGCTTATGGACAATACAACGGTTCTTTAGCTGTAAATTTCAATATTCCTGTTGTATGATTTAGAATATCAGCAGCAGAAGTACTAGAGCCCACACACGCTTTGCCGATATTCTGCCGCTGTATGACACAGCTGCGAGGGGTTCGACTCATCAGCGGAAATCTGGCACCTTGGTAGTCAGTTCATTAAAAATATGCACCCAAAAGCTTCATCGGATGGAGCTTCCGAAATAAGTTCGACAGAGTTTTGAGAGGACCTTTTATGCATCAGGATCATAACTACTGGTATTATATACATGAGTTGTACACTACACCATACTTGAGAGCACTGTTACTAGATAAATGCCCAGGCACGTGCTCCACCAATATTCTGTTGCGCAGAACGGCGATGGGTTCGACTCATCGATGGAAATCCGGTATCTTGTGAATTAGTTCATTAAAAATGGGCACCCAGAAGCTTCATCTGATAAGGTGCTACAGAGATTTGGGAGGACCTCTCATGCATTAGGACCATAACTGTCAGTCTTGTCCGATGAAAATAGTCAAAACCGACCATAGGCGCGCGGATTAAAGAACAGTTAGACTAGGGTGAACATTCAGCCGTCTTCTACCTGCAAACATATAACAGCTTGAATAACAGCTTGAATTACCCTTAAAGCTCTCGAAGCATTTTTTTGTAAACTACTCAAAACTTTCCCGTTAAGGTTTACTGATTCGATCGACATGAATATTTAGTGACGAGACGCGGGGCCCTATTACGAAGAGCAGAAAATCACATTGTGCACAGCAATACGGTCGGAAACATCGGGACAAAGCAATTCTGCGTAGAGATGAGACTTAAAAACGAGGCAAACCATCTTTGTTGTGGCATGTTTTATGCCCAAATCCAGTCCAGTTTGGCTTCTGCTGGTTAATTCGCACCCAGCTGCTCTCCTAATACTGAATGTCGTTATAAGAAATGTTACTTTTTGAAAATTGTTTAGCTGGCTTACTATGAAGTGTGGAACTGACCTCTACAACGACAAATGTGTTTCAGCAACTTCAGGGCCGAAAGGCTTAGAGCAATACGAAAATACGAACAAATTTCCTGTCACAGATTATTAACAGCAACTGAAATGAAAGCAAGAGGGCTGCATATCTCTGGTATTCTTACCAAGGTCGCAATGCGGCAATAAGAGGCCATAGTTGTTCCACTGTCTTACCCTTAATTATGATTGCGTTGTGTAGTTCACGTGCTTGCTGTCATAAATACGACCACAGTAAACACTTGAATTGCCACGAAGAAGAATACTTCAGCATCAACTACTCTCTGTTTGTTTTTCCATACGCTAGCAACCTCTTCGAACCTTTTTTATCTGTTGATAGCGATATGAAATGGAGGGTCTGACGTTATTTGATCTCAGGTTTAATATATGTAATAGGCATTTTGACAGGTGCTTAAAACTCATTTAAACTCATCATCTTCCAATTGCTGCGAGCGGCTGGCCATTGTGGTACTATTGTAACGTAACACGACAGCAAATTAGCCAATTTAGATTCATATCTGACCACTTCTACCCACCATATTATACGTTTGCCTTTGACTAAGGCTCTTGCGCGGTACGGTTTTACATGACTAACCTTCGTTTTCCTAACTCATGATAATTCCAACTTGGCTGACGCAGTATCTAGGACCTTTTGATTGCTTTCTCAGATTTTGGAGTTAAAAGCGCCCACCACCTGTGATCCAACCTGTTACGAAAGATTCTGCTAACAAAAGAAGCTACGCCCCCTCGAACTATCATCAGTACGCACTTGGATAGATACGCATGTCAATACTCTTAGATAGATCGTTTGTTTACCTTGTAACCCCCTCCCCAAAAACGGGACGCACAGTAAATGCGCTGGGCCGATAAGGGAGTTAGATCAGGACACGATAGGCTCTATTAAGATGCACACCCATAATAAATGTCACACACGAAGTTGGGCACGTCTAGGCGCAGGCTCGCGTCGCGTCGAACACACGTGTCCTATCTCGTTTCCAAACTTCTTAACACCATCATAGCGCCAAGCTCAGGCGTGGGAGGAGGAGAGAATGCGGCAGATGTGGCGCAAGTCTACTGTCACCACAGACCAGTTCACGCGCAAGTCACCGTCCCAGCACCCGTCATACTTTGGGGCACACAGCGAGCATGGTCATAATCGACGGTCAAACCGTTTTGTTTCCGTAAGGCACTTTATGTTTAATTTGACTGGCACAAGTACTAAGGCCTGCTGATTGCTTTTTCACATTTCAAATTCAATAAGCAACAATCTTCTGTGACCCAGTATGTTACATAAGGTTTCGTCAACAATAGGGGCTTCGTCCTTCTGAACTGTCATCCTGTACGTACCTAGTTATTTCCACGTACGAGAAGTCTAAGAAACTTGCTCAGACAAGCCTAGTATGAGTAACTAAATCTCAGAAAGCAGTTCAAAAACGAGACTAATGTGACGCCCTTTCCAAACTCCGACCAAAACCTAGGTAAAGCTACATCTACTTCTCGGAAGGAATGAAAACGAACTTGGCCCTTGCCTCGATGTGCAGGTTGCCAGCATGTTCTCCTAACCTATACTGATAAAAGTTTGTCAGCAAGTGTCACAATAGCTACACAACGTTTCCTGACGCGATTTAGTTTGGCAAATATTTTTAGTCTTTTACACTGACCTTTGACTATTAATGCTATTCCCAGGGTTGTAAATGTACTTTGACAGACTCGGGATATCTAAATTGATTAAGACAATTTCTCCGTGCATTCAGATACAGTGAACTCAGTGATAATTAAATATTCTTCCGGTGTAAAAGGCCCTTGAGTGATGTTGCAAGACTGAATCAGTTGATCAGCAGAGGATGTGATTACGGCACGTCCTCACGAAGATTTTACGTCAACTGTCTACCACACTCAAGAATAAGTACCTACAAAATATAGGTTTTCCCGTTTGTTTCCACTACTTGTATAAATAAGGCTGTATGTCCTGCTTACATAACCACGGCATTTTATTAGACTTGTATGTAAACGGTGACTTCATCTAACATAGCGGACTTTGTTGGTTTATAATTGGAATCCTCTTCAATCGTACGCGAACTCCAAAGGGCCAGTTTATGTAGATAGGAAGGGTAATATGGGTTCGGAAATTCAGAGGAATAATCAAGAGACATGGCAGTCAGCAAGATTTGTAAACCCTACAAAATGCCTCATTTGCTATACTAAGTGTTGTAATATCGTTACAAGTTATGGATTGGCCATGTTGTGATTCAACTGACAGCTGAATTTTGAAAACCCGGCCGTCCTCCTGGCGTTCGAACTCGCGGCACTGTTTTCCGTTGAGGACTCGTATACGATTGGCGAAGTGCCTATTGCTGGGAAGTTTTGTCATTTCAGACGCGGGTTCGGACCTGAATTTTTCACAATGTAACGGCTAGTCGAACAACGTAAATCGTCCAAAACATCTATCACCCATAACTGGAATTTTCCATCTCCGTACATGGAAAGATGTGTATCAAATGCAATCACTGTACGCCCGTGCAAAAATTCATATCGCTGAACGAGTGACTTCGATGAGTATGATTAAAGCGTGGAGATATTTTGGCAGCCGAAATGCACTAAACAATCGTACATGAATTAAGTCGACGATGTCGTTGCCAAAATCAGCAGCTGAGTAGTCTTTCTCGATTTTTGACTAAGTTCAAGAGATCCGACTTGAGTTTTAAAGTTTCAATGCAGACCATTTTTTCGTCTTTTAAGCGTTTATGGATTAGGCAGTCTTTACTCATGGGCGAGCACCCCGCAGGTGGTACTATTTTTGATTTAAGCAGTGCATCTTTCCTGCGAAAATTAATTGATCCAAATTTTTTTTGTTTCTTGCAAAGGGACCGATTTCGTTCAGGTATAATGACAATCTGTGTGATGTACGGGGTTTCACTGGTCGATATCATATCCAAGCGACGGAGGAAAACACGGAAAGAAAGCATAGCGATTTCGAGTTTAGGTTATAGTCTTGCTTGACTCATGAACAGCTCATATTAAACTCTTTACTTTTGTTTTCCTTGCAATCTCACCTCCTGTTATCTGAAAGCCTTAGATATCCTACTGTAAGGGTTTGTGAATATCTCATTTAAAGTTTCAATGGACTAGTTTGAAGTTTACCGAAGTCCAAAACAGAATAAAACCCATAATCATTTTTCTTGAAATATTTGCCTGCTTCCCAAAAGTGAGCATGAGGAATGTTTTTGGATGATACTCCATGCCATGTGAATAATGCGGCAGTGGAAATTTCATTCGTACGTCATTTTCACTTGCGTTCGATCACAGTGAATGCGTCGAACGATCTGCAAGCTTGTCAACAGAGGAATTACAAATGTAGGTCACTGAGTCAAATATAAAGGGAGAATCAACTATTATTCACCAAAACGGTGCCCTCCGAGCATAAAATAGTGTGAACCTTCTTCTACCTGTGGCTAGAGTTAATAATGAAAGACGAAGGGTAGGGGGAACAAAGAGCTGTATATGGAAATGTACGGTCTCAACTTGAGCTAGAAAATGTAGAACAGATAATAATGAATCGAAAAACCTACGATTAGAGCAATTCTGGTCATATTTGAGCGATTACATCACACATTATTAAGTTTCCGATTCAGTTTAGTTCAGTTTTATTGAGGTAAATGTAGGTCTTCACCTTTAAAATCCCTATTTGTTTACAAGCAACTGAAAAATCTCAAAAAGTAGGAAAGGTATCATAAAGGTAACAAATAATCGGAAAAGCGTCAACTCTGTACAGATAAACAGACTGTCTCCAGTGTTGGTGGTAAAAGCAGTAGTACAGCGTTCGTTTCGAGTGTAGGGAAATAAATAATATACCCAGTGACATATGTTGCATAGATGCATGGCAGTAAGCTTAGGCCATGGGTTGGAGACAATATGAAATGCAATTTAAAATGTTACCGAAATATAGCAAGTAGTAGTATAACAACGGGATTCGTCAAGGTTACAGAGGTCGGGTGGTAATTAAGTCGACACTGCTACACAAATCCAACTTACTCTTAAGGACCTCGACGGAAGCAGACATAACGACATACAAAGATTAGCATTAAAAGTGCTTTTATCCTGAATAGGATAAGTGGCAGTAAATTTCTAAAAATGCTTGGCCTTACTTAAATCATCGCAAATTCGCATGAAATATACACTCACTAGTTTATCTTGTCTTCACGAAGAATTAGGAAGACTTCGTTTCGCCTAATAGCTACGGTCTGTACTGTCATAGGTGGTTGACTAGCGACAACTGACCAGTAATTGAGAGGTTTTGCCGACAAGGACACTGAAAGCTGAAATAACAATTTCTAAATAATTACCATTGCCGGTTAACAAAAAACCAACCACAGGCGTAGAAGAAATGAATATTGTACCCAGGTCAGTTAGTTAGCGGTAATCGAGTCATCCGCCTCACTGCGCGGCTCACTGTCCAACTGGTGACTAATTTCGAGGTTTCGGACTGGGGTCTTTAAGCTTTAATGCGACCACTTTTCCGTCTCTGAAGTATTTGTAGATCAGGCAGTCTACTGTCCTCGGTAATATTCAAAGTTGCATAGGGAGTATGTTCTCTGACTGACTGTCCCGTCCCAACCTCTAACTTTTCCCGACCCGAAATGAGGTATAGCTGACTGCTGAAGGCATATAGGACGAAAGAACCGCTTCAGTCTCACTGGTCTACAGGCCTTCTGTAAAACGATGACTCATATCTGTCACAAATAAAGGATTTTGCTTAAAGGCAGCTGAGTATTGTTTTGCATTTTTCTGTTCCTGTTGAAAGTCCCTACATCAGCGGTTAATTTACAGTACTTCGCAACCCACGCTGGCGAAGCTCCGTTAGTAGTATCAATAAATGCAATACGCGTCACAGTCTGAGCAGACGTTAAATATACTCATCATTATAAATAAGACCGTCAGGGGTAGGTTTCTTGGGTTTTTATGCAACGTAGCCGAATGAATTCATGAAGGAGTTCAAAATTCAGACGACGTTGAAATAAAAACTCAAACGCCATCAGCAAATCTTCAATCACGAGGCCATATCTAAAGTCCTCAACTAAAATGAAATCACAAGCATCAAGTGACTGACGAAGTATACTGTAATATCGCGCCTTTTTGTGAAAAACAGACATGAAACAGTTAGTATGAGTAAATTCCTCGCAAAATACTTCTAAAGGATCGCCAAGTTTTAGCAACTGAAACAAAGTGACACATCAATATAAAACAGTATTGATAAGTATTTTACTAGCCAGAACTAAGTAGGCAGGTTTTTACAATTGTCAATAAATGCAAAAGCAAGGAAAAAGACATCTATTGTGCTGGTCTTATGATGCAGGAAAAATATAGCACACAGGTTGATACTTTCGACCTATAGAACCTTCAGGAGCGTCAAGCGATATAAATTCTTAGTCCAATTATTTTGGAGCAGTACGCTTTGTGTGCCTGCTAAAGTGAGCTCGTGACATTCGCCTTTTCGTCGTGTTACCTCAGCTCAGGTTACTGCTTGTGCTAGAGGGGGGACAATATGCGACTTATGTTGATACCTTTGGAGATTCCAGCCGGTCGAGGCGATTGCCAGGATGTGGACACTTTGCAGACAGATGAGAGTAGGGCCGTCAGCGCTTGCGTGGTGCGACCAATCACACCTGCTCGGATTACCGAATAAATAGACTCTCATAATCCTTTTTGACATTACTTTAGCCCCCTTACACACACGCGCGCACGCACACGACAGTTTGACAGTCGTTTCCGACTATGTGCACCGTGTGCTGCGGGTCACGTTAAGAAGGAGTCGCTGCAGCCTGGCTCTCAGCCCACCAGTCTGCCACTCCACACAAACACACAAAACTAGTTAGACTGCGTGGACTGAGTTGGGGCGTCAGTCAGCATTCTTCCAAGCCACAGCACACGACACATATACTAGGGGCCGCATGGAGACGCAGCCAAGACGCACACTTCCTACTAACGTAGGAGGTGGATTTTGGGTGCTTGTGGTGGCTGGTGGTGTTTGTGTAATGCAGGTGTTGGTTGGGGGAAGATGCGACGGATTCTCAAGTGACTAAAAATCAGAGTTGCGGATCGCACGTACCGTTACACCCAAAGAGACACAAACGAAACATGAAAAGGTGGGCGTACCGAAGGCGCTTTGAGATGGGTTGGGGCCGCTTTTTTGGCCGTTCTCAAGTCGTTCATGTCAGTGACCATCAGACAACAAAGGGGGCGGTTGAGGACGGTGTTTCACAGTGCTCCTCTCATAACCTTTTTCTATCCATTGTCTACATAGCCCCTAGTTGGTCCCGAGTGAGGTCTTCCCAGTTGACCAGGTTCATTTACAGCCGCTTTTGGGAGGTCTTCAGAGTATCCTTGTATCGACAGCTTTGACCTCTTTGTCAGAGGGAACCAGCGACGATATCTCTATCAAAGGGTCGTTTGGGTAATCGCTTGTCGTCCATGTGCACGAGGTGATCAATCCAGCGCAACTGCAGTTGTCTCAGAAAGGCGTAAATTTTAAGGATTCCCGTCCGTTCCAGTACATCACTGTCGGGCATCCGGTCTTGTGACCTCAGCTTCAGTTTTCGACAAAGAAAGCTGAGGTGGAAGTGGTTGAGTCTCCGCGCGGGCTTCATGTACACCGTCCAGGTCTCAGCTCCGTACAGTATCGTCGACAGGATGACCGCTCTGCACATCTTCAGTTTGATGTTGGGTTAGAGACAGCGACGATTCCAGACTGTGTCTAGCCGACGCACGAAGGTAAGGTTGGCTTTCGAAATTCGGCGGGCCACTTCATCATCGATCTTGTCGGTGCGAGGAGGGTGTCGCCCAGATAGGTGAAGTTGTCCACGACATGTAGTTGGGTGTTGTTCATGTTGAATTGGTGTGCGACGTAGGCAGCGTCGGGTGGCGGTTTATGTATAACCACCGTTTTCTCCGTGTTGATTATCAGGCCGAAGTTTTCGCAGGCACCGGAGAAGAGGTCCATGCTCCTTTGCCCTCTCCATCAGTAGTTGCATCGAGGACGAAGTCATCGGCGAACAGAAGTTCTTGGACAGTGATTGTGACTACGCACAATTGGAAGTGCATCTGCCGCTAATTAATGTGGCCGTGCACCCTGTAGACGACGCATAACCTAGGGTGTTCGTCACAACAGTCACCCATCAGCATCGCAGAGTTCGCAGCCCCGTCTCACTCCGCTGGTCGCAGCGAATGCCTCTGAGACAGCTCCATTGTCTGTGACTCGCGCCATCAGGCCATCGCGGAACTGATACACCATCTGAGTAAATTGTTCGGGACAACAGAATTTTTGAATGATTTTCCACAGTCTATCGCAAATCACTGTGTCGAAGGATTTTGTCAGAATGGTATTGACGACAAAGACAAGGGAGATTGGAATGGTCATTTCTAGGTTACAAACCGTCGTCAGCCGGCCATACTCAACCACGAATTATGAAACACCTGGGGCTTGATCCCCCGACCTGTTAGTTAGAAGTCCCACGCCTCTAACCACTGAGCCACAAGCTCGTTGTGTTGCCGGTTGCGATCGGGAATATACAAAATGGTAGATAAGCGCTCACCGATCGTTTTTACGGAACTCACTTGTCTCGTTGTGCCTTACAGACTCTTCTGGAGCCCAACCAGCAGCCGCACAGCGATGCATGCTATAGCCTTTCGTCAGATTTAAGAAGGTACAGTGGAGGTGGATACGCATCTCCTTACGCTTCTCCTGCAGTTGACGTTTGGCGAAGATCATGTCGGCGCTCCCACGATGACGGCGGAAGCCACACTGACTTTCCGGCAGGAGACCCTGCTCCAGATGGTGACTTAGGCGATTGAGAAGAATTCGAGCGAAGATCTTCCGGCGATATTCAACAAGAAGGTGCCTTGATGGTTGTCGCAGAGCTGGCGACCACCTTTCCGCTTGTAGAAGTAGACTATTGTGGGCTACTTCAAATCCTGCAGGACTTCTATTTGACGCCACATCTCCTGGATCCATGAGTTGGGGATCACCGTGCTTATAGATCTCAGCAGGGATCGCTAGGGATCCTGGCGCTTTCCCGCTGGAGAGCTGCTGTCGCCCCCAATTGTTTTATGGATAGAGGGCGGGAGGTCGAGGTCGGCATTGGTTTCCACTTGCGGCAGATGGGCGATGATAGCATCGGTGATAGTGAAAGGGCGGTTGAGGCCAATCGCTAATGAATTTGTCTTCTCGGTGAGGAGGGTGGTTTCGTCGGTGCTGAGAAAAGGAGCGATGCCCTATGGCTGTGGAACCGTAGATAGTCTTGATCGCGGCAAGAAATTCCTCCATATTTTGCGGTCCGCGTTCCTTTGGATCCCCTCAGCCTTGCGAGCCATTCAGGCCTCCTGCATCTCCCACAACCGCTGTTGCACAAGGCGGTTACTACGGTAGAAGACTGCTTTGTTTTCGTCGGTAGGGCGGTTAACGTAGGCTTTGCGCAGGCAGTTCTTCTCGGCGACCAGGTTACTGATGACGGCGTCGTTGTCACCGAAACAGTCCTGGTGTTGGCGTCGTGCGTGACCGAGGACAACCAGGGCGGTTGATTGGACTGTGTCTCGCATTTGACACCATTGATGCTCCAGGGAGGTATTCTCGTCAGCGGCGGCGGTGGCGACTGGAAGGCTGGCTAGCCGCTGAGAGAGCTCATTGCTGAAATGCAGATGGCGAGCAGGCAACGACAACAAATCAATATTCGGCTTACCTTGAGGCCTCCTTCGACGCTATACGTTAATTGCATCTTGGATATGACGAGGTGATGGTCGTTCCGCCCGTTGGCACTGGGGATCGCCATTGTCACCACCACATCATGCTGGCGTCACCTCCGGACGAGGACCTAATCCAGCAGATGCCAGTGTTGCGACCGAGGGTGCATCCAGGTGGCCTTCTCTCGCATCGGGAGACGGAGGTAGGGGTTACTCAGGACGTGCCGGTGTTCTGCACAGGTTCGTAGGAGGAGCAGGGTATTGTCATTGGAGCCGTTGAGACCATAGGGACCCAGCTCTTCTCTCCAGGCAGCGTGATCTGTGCCGACGAGGGCTTTTAACTCATCAAGGACAATCAACTCGTCCGCCTTCGGTACAGTCCTCAGGAAGGCATGCAGGTCCTCGTAGAATTTCTTCTTAGTCTCGTCGGTGCTGGTCATCGTGGAGAGTAGACGCTGACGTTCTTGGCCAATTTGCCTCCCGGGGAGGCAGATGGGGGCTTATCAGGCGATCGCTGATGCCTTGTGGCAGACAGGACAGTCGTCCTACGATGTCGTTCCGGATGGCAAAGGCGACGCCTGCGCCCCGCACTTTTCCCTGGGTCAACCGCTACAGAAGAAGGTGTAACCGACATCCACCTCCCCTAGTTGGCCTTGTTCGGTGAATCGGGTCACGCTAAGTGCAGCGATGTCCACCTTAGAACGCGCTAGTTCCCGCGTCACTAGCGCCGCCCTCCGTTCCGGTCGATTATTCCTCGCATCGTCTAAAAGTGAACGAACGTCCTCTCTGCCAGAATGAGTGGACTTACCCTACCAGCCTGTGGGGTGGGGGAAGGGAGAGGGTATGGTTTATTGTTTGGTTGTTTCGACCGTGTCTTTTGCGTCTGCAAGCCACGGTCTGCGCGCAGAGGACATGATCCCAGATTTCTTTGGGCACCTTTTCCAGTCCCTTCCCCTTGCGGGGGTGAACAGTGCTTTCCTCACATAGGGCTGCTCAGTTGTCTCAGACGGCTGCCGGACTCCACTATGGACCACAAATTTGTTTAGTGGGAGAACGACTTCGGTTGGCCTGGGCCACCTACGTAATCGCTGTTGCTCTCACCGTAAGACTTTTGAGTGGAGGAGGGAGGAATGTAAAGGGGGAAGGCAAAGATATGGAAAGTAGAGTTTTGTCCCTTTTTAAACTAACTGATTGCCGAAATATAAACAGTGAGCAGAAAAATTCAACAGAATGGTATGTATCTTACAACAAGGACAAACACTGATAAGCATGCAAAGGCAACCAAGCGAGAGCGAGTGAAAAGCAAGGACAGCAGAGCAATATTCGGCTTACCTGGGGGGTCGCTTACCAAGTGGCCTCCAGCGGGATTGCATACGAAGCTTCATTTTGATGGTTGGGATGCGATAATCCGTGAGATATTCCACAGTGAGGTAAGGGAGCACAGTAGCGGGTAGAGAGAATGAGGGGCAGAGGAGAAGAGCGGAGGATAGGTGCGAAAGAGAAGTAAGTGGGTAGTCTTCCTACAGTGGGTCAGTGGCTTGCTGAGTGTTTGTAGCCTCCTGCGGGGTTGCAGGTGGAACCTCACCTCAGATAATCCGAGGCGGTAATCCATCCGGCAGTCGATGGTGGGAGCGGAGTCGAGTTACCGTGTGCGGATATACACACAGACAAATACCATCACCTGGTTTAACCTGCCTTTCGAGGCGGTTATTGGGGTGTGACCGCTAGGCAGAACCTATCTCCTGGGAGCTACAGGCGAGCGTTGGGTGCCAGTTCATGGACGTTATACGTAGTCTACACCTGTAAGCAAGTGATCTACGATCATCACGTGCATCCACAAATGGACACCCTTCATCCCACATACACACACACCATCTAGCTCGATTGTCGATTCCAACGATGTCAGCCCTGTGTCTCACAGCAGGATGGACCCAGGAACGGTGATTTGCGCATGATAGTAGACGCGCGCAACATCCACTCCGCTCTCCTCTCCCTCACCCACCTGAACCTGCTCACAAGATACAGCCATGAAGATTGGAGATGTTTTGCACGTGCTGGCGATGTAAGGCTTGGGATCGGTTACCGTGGATCATTACCGAAACGCTTGTAACCAAGTAGGCCCATGCAAGGGCTGAATGTAGGTGGGCAGTGTGGACAGTTTAAGCGACTATGACGGATGTATGCTGATGCCCATGGCACTGTTTCACTGGTCACAAAGCAATGGATTCACAAATGACCGATCAGGCTGATGCGAGATGTGCATTGCAGTAGCAATGGGTGTAGCTGCTAATTTGTTGATGACGAGACCCCAGTGTCCACATGCGCACCAACGAAGGCCGCCTTAAGAAACCGCCGTTCGAACCCGTCACCATATATCTCCTTACCAGCACATACACCGCACATGAACTCCTCCCACGGCAGCCTCCTAAGGCTCCTAAAAAGCACTTCCCACGTAGGCGGAAGGCGTGGTCTTCAGCTCCTTCTTTATGTTACATCTATGGCACTAACGCGGGTGAAATCGAAGCACTGCACTCTCCTTTGGGTGAAGTCTTGGTGTTTCGTGTGAGGAGTCAGGCTGTATGTGTTGTGAGCGCAGACGGGCTGTTTGGCCTTGTAAGCCAATGCACCGGATCCCGCCCCAGTGCTCTTGACCCCATTTCGAGACCCGATTCAGGTGGGTGATGGAGGAGGGAGTGTGATAGATGCTGTGCACGACTTCTATCGCTATAAACCAACTCGGGCACAAGCCGTCCTCCCCGAGCCCATCATGCTGTGGGACACCTGGCGGACATCATCGGAATCATCGGGCTCTTACACTTGCATGCAGGGTTTCCAAACTACAAGCCGTATATTGTCCACGTACGGAAAACCATACATTTCTCTACGATATTAAGAGGAGACTATATGGGGTTAATCAAAGTTAGCAGTAGATTGGGCCATATTGTTAACTTTTTAAGCTGCATTGGTAAATGTAGAAGCATGACGTTTTATGAACGGCCGTTTCACAGTAGAAGAAGATCTTGTAATTTTAAAACCGAATTATACCTTTCGTTCGAGCATAAAATTGAAAGAAAACGTAATTTTCTAACGAATGAGTAAAAAATGAATATGTTTATGCATTTTTGCCGTGAAATATAATTGAATTTTTTAACGGCATTGGAAGTCTATGAGAAACATGCACGCTACCTGAGTACTTATTTTTTACCGAGTACGGTTTTGGCATGCAGCCGGAAAGACGTTCGTTCGAAAGCTGGCATCTTGAGGTAACCGAGTTGTTATAGAATTACGCTGCGCGATGATCAGTTTTGCAATCCTGCACAATTAATCTTTTCGAAACGAAAATGCATTTCCGAATTTTGGCTGAAACTTCATGAGTTAGCCCACCCACTGTACTTTTTCGTTCGAATTAATGGTTGCGTCAAGACGCAGATGGCGAGAATGGTGTATGATTAAGAACGTTACACTTACAATTAATATACTTACCTCCAAATCTAAACTAGTGACGTGTCTGAAAACAATTCTTCAGAGAAATATGACTGCAATGCGGTCTAACACATCTCTTGCATAGAGGGTAAGAACATGAAAACAACTATAACCCAGGTTTGAAACTAACTGAAATAACGGTTTCTGGGAGGCAACTAGGGTGTGGTGACAAATAGGAATGCATTCCGAAACACTATGAGCAACATAGGCATAACAGCACTTAGCAAACGTGCCTTCAATGTCAGAAGTGTGGCAACGATACTAACAAGGCGGTTTATCTTTAGTATCCGAGAAAAAGTGACATTAGGGGAATCTTTGAGCTTAGATGAGCCATACTAATCAAAGTTACCATCAGCTGGTGAAGTGGACAAATACAGCAGGAATTCTGAAAAAGGAGATCCAACTTACTGAGTCTTAAAGCGAAATAAATCTAAGAAAAAGCTGCCTGCAACCTGCACGTTCGTCCCTAGCCCTCAACTAGTCTGCGCAGGTCAAATGGAATACTACTGTTCTGAAGCATTTGCCATTGCACATTTTTGCCTACTACCGGTCGACTAACATATTACCGAAATTTAAAGTTGCAGTTTCCTTCGGTCTCCTCAGTCCCAAACGAAAGGTCGAGGCATCCAGTCACTTTCAGTTGGAAAACTCCTAAGCGCTGGCACAATACCCATTGAGATCATTATAAAGGGTGGCTTTCAACTTTTTGACGCCCTAGTTCTTCGGTTTCCGAATATCTAGAGTTAAGACATTACGGCTAGATACGGAAATAAGGACCATCCCCCAAATGCAGGGACCCTGTGATAACGGCCAGGGAGATTAGGGTTAATTTAAGGTTAGGGTTAGGGCCAAGATTGGGTTCAGGATTGAGGTTGGGCTTAGAATTTAATTTAGCGTTAGGGTTAGCGTGTGGCCTAGGATTAGTGTTAAAGTTAGGTTCGGGACACGGTGGTATATGCCTCATCTGGGATTTCGCACAAGATCACCTGTATTACCGAGCTGGTCATATTCCCGTGCCTTATCCACATTATAGTGGAGACGGTCGTGACGCTTGGCTGGGGAATTCGAAACTTAATCCTTCCAAAAGAGTTACGTGCTTAAAGCACGAGTAAGCTGACAACAAATTAAAGGCCAGTCGATCTCCCTGTACTTGAAACTATGCCAGTTTAGAAGCCTTCGTCTAGTCACATAAAATCCCGAGACGTATGCAGTCGTTTTGTCATCGGAGGGGGATCTCTGCATTTTGGCAGTCATTTACACAAGATCCCCCGTTTCTGGTGGTCTAAACCTGTTACGATGGTGAACCCTACT